ATCGTAGTTAAGCGAATGGTGACAACCTTTACATCCGTCGAAGGTAAATAACTCGCGGCTCTACATTAATTAACACCTTCATAATAGTCTAGCTAGACTAACGAAAAATTTGGGTGGATAAACGGTCATCTAGACAACTGTACACACACAATAGAGAGGCTTCGTGTACAGCTATAGCGAAAATGTCTATTAACGAATATAAGTTAATAATAAGTAGAAAACATTGTGTGAAACGTAATAGTAAGGCAAATTATTTAGCCACCACACGTATATCGACGTGCATACTGAATGGATTTAAAAGTAGTAGTCTCTGAGGGAGAGCAAGAAGGAGGCTACTTAGAAGCGAGATCCATATAAATGAAAAATATATATACATATACGTAAACGTTTGTAGTCGATTTAACGTAAATAAAGATACCACGATGTTCATACACTAAGCCCATACATGTTATCGCTGAGAGGTAGGAGATTAATCAAAGAAGAGCTACTTTATATTATTTCTGGGAAAATGGTTACGATACACACACACACACACACATACTCGAGCGATACAGAGTTCTCTCCTACGAAAGAGTACTATTCACGAATGTTTCACCTTACTCTCAGTGAATACTTTTCGTTACATATATATATGGAGAACCTTTATTTCTACTCGCACGTTATACACATTGTTGTGGAGAAACTGGTAATGAATGAAAGTGATATAGCTTCGTGTTGCACACGAAATGACTTTCTCCTTTTCAAGATGTGGTGGCCCTGAAAAGGGCCGTTTGAATTGAAAAGAGAAGAAAAACATATTACTTGGAACTGGTGTACTTGGTGATAACCTTGGTCCCTTCGGAGACGGCGTGTTTGGCCAACTCTCCAGGCAAAAGCAGACGTACTGCAGTCTGGATCTCCCTGCTCGTGATAGTTGATCGCTTATTGTAGTGGGCCAGTCGAGAAGCTCCAGCGGCAATTCTCTCGAAAATGTCGTTCACGAAGCTGTTCATGATGGACATAGCTTTGCTGGAGATTCCAGTATCCGGGTGGACCTGCTTGAGAACCTTGTAAATGTAAATACTGAAGCTCTCCTTCCTCCTCTTCTTTCGCTTTTTCTTTTCTCCAGCTCGTATGGCTTTCTGGGCCTTTGCAGCTAAGAATCACAGCATTTCCCGACGCTTGAGGTGGCATGGAGAAAAGTAGACTTTATTTCTCTCTCTCTTACTCAGAACATACACTAAAAAATGACCGGAAAAAACAACAACTAATCGTGGCAGGGGTTTAGTTTGAAGGAAGAGAGTTCTCTCTT